AGCCTGTCCACATCTACAAGTCAGGAGTATGATGGAATACTCCCCACTTGCCTGGGTGAGTGCAGTTCCAACAAAACTCAAGAAACTTGACACCATACAGGACAAAGTAGCCCACTTGATTGGCTCTACATCCACAACTATCCACTCCCTCCACCACCGATGCTCAGTAGAAGCAGTGGGTACTATCGACAAGATGCACTGCACAAATTTACTTAAGATCCACAGACAGCACCTTCCAACCTACGACTACTTCTATCTAGAAAGACAAGGAAAGCAGATATATGGGAACACCATCACCTTCAGTTTCCCTCCAAGCCACTCACCATCCTGACTTGGAAATTTATCGCTGTTCCTTTACTGTTGCTGTGTCAAAATCCTGGAATTCCTTCCTGAATGGCATCGTGGGTCAACCCACAGCAGGTGGACTGCAGCAGTTCAAGAAGGCGGCTCACCACCACTTTCACAAGATCATCTAGGGACAGGCAATAAATACTGATCATATCCCATAAACGGATTTTTTTTAAAAATGAGAATTACATGACTTCAGATTCATAACCACTTAATATTAATGTGCACCATGTGTAGATGTGTTCCTGATGGGTTTGGATTGAGGAAGAGCTGCTTTTTCTTGAATGGGAGGAATCATTGAACCACGGGAGAAGAGGCATTGATGACTGAGATTGAATGGCAGCTGTGATGAAATGGGGCAAGGCTTACTGAGGGAAGTAGGTGGAAGCTCTTAGAAGTTACATTGAGGACAGAGGAAGAATGTTAACGAAGTGATCACAGGAAGCTAAACTATACAGGGAAGGTCAATGTTTACACATGGTAGGTGAATATAATTGTAGGGAGATCAAGGGTTATACAAGGAAGTTGTGATGTGCTGATACTTAACTATAACTGAGGGAAGACCAATGATGATGTAGGATGAGGGGAGGATGATGGAAGGGGGTGGAGGGCAAGAGAGGGCAGTCTGACAAGGGGCTAACCAGTGATGACAGGAGAGAAAAGTTCTAGGGTGAATGATATTTGGCCGAGAGTGATTGGGGCTGGGCCAAGGGTTAGGTGTCAGCAGGGAACATTAAGGGTCAAAGGTGATGGACAGAGGTCAAAGGTGATTAAGGGAGGTAGTAGGGTTAATGCCTCCACTTCCCGTGGATCACTGTGCAAAGGTCCATGAACATGGCTGCATTCATAAGAAAGGTTAGCTGGAGTAAAGCTTAAGACTACAATGGTTCAAGATGGGTTACATAGACCAGAGTGTGCTGATGCTAAGTCTAAGGCTCTCCATCGGTAAGATGTGCTCAGAAAGGAAGGAGAGCCTTAAAGATTATGCAGTTATGCAGTCATGCACGCATGAATGCATCAGGAGGTCACCAGCGTCTTGTTCAGAAGAGTTGATTTTTAAAAAAAATTTCACTCATGGGACATGGGAATCGCAGGCTGGGCCAAAATTTATTGCCCATATCTAGTTGCCCTTGAGAAGGTGGTGGTGTACTGCCTTCTTGAACCACTGCAGTCCATCCCAGTGCAGATAAGCCCAAAATGCCCTTAGGGAGGAAATTACAGGATTTTAACCCAGCAACAGTGAAGGAACATCAATGTTTTTCCAAGTCAAGATGATGAGTGGCTTGGAGAGAAACTTTCAGACAGTGGTGTTCCCTTGTATCTGCTGCCCTTGTCCTTCTAGATGGAAGTGGTCATGGGTTTGGAAGTTTCTGTTCAAGGATCTTTGGTGAATTTCTGCAGTGCATCTTGTACATAATATACATTACAGCTAATGAGCGTTGGTGGTGGAGCAAGTGGATCCTTGTGGAGATAGTGCCAATCAAACAGGCTACTTTGTCCTTGATGGTGTTAAACTTCTTGAGTGTTGTTGGAGCTGCACTTACCCATGCAAGTTGGGAATATTTCATCACACTTCTTATTTGTGCCTTGTAGATGGTGGCAGGCTTTGTGGAGTCAGAAGGTGAATTATTCACCACAGTACTCCTAGCCTCTGACTGCTCTCATAGTCATTGTGTTTGTGTGGTGAGTCCAGTTGAGTTTCTGGTCAATGATAACCCCCAAGATGCTGATAATAGGGAATTCAGTGATGGTTAGGGTTAGGATTAGTTGAGTATCAAGGGCAGTGGTTATATTGTCTCTTATTAGAGATGGTCATTGCCTTGCATTTGTATGGTACAAATGTTACTTGCCACTTGTCAGCCCAAGTCTGGATATTTCCAGATCATGTTGCATTGAACATGGACTGCATCAGTATCTGAGGAGTCACAAATACTGCTGAACAACGTGCAAAAATTTGTCAACATCCCCACTTCTGACCTTATGATGGAGGGAAAAACATTGATAAGCAGCTGAAGATGGTTGAGCCTAGAGCACTACCCTGAGGAAATCCTGCAGAGATGACCTGGAGCTGAGATGACTGACCTGCAACAACCACGACTATCTTCCTATGTGCCTGGATAACTCCAGCCAGTGGAGAGTTTGTCCCCTGATACTCATTAATTCCAGTTTTTCTAGGGCTTCCTAATGCCACACTTGGTCAAATGCAGCCTTGATGTTAAGGGCTGTTACTCTTTTGTCCATATTTGAACTGGGATTGTAATGAGGTCAGGTGTTGAGTGGCCCTGGCGGAACCCAAACTGAGTGTCACTACGTAGGTTATTGCTGAGTGGGTGCTATTTGATGACACTGTTGATGACACCTTCCATCATTTTACTGATGATCAAGGGTAGACCGATGGGGCAGTAATTGGCCAGGTTGGATTTGTTCTGCTTTTGCATCTGGGTAATTTTCCACATTGTCGGCTAGATACCAGTGTTGTATCTGTACTGGAACAGCTTGGCTAGGGGAGTGGAGAGGTCTGGAGCATAAGTCTTCATGACTATTGCCAGAATGTTGTCAGGCCCCCTGGTCTTTGCAGTATCCAGTGTCTCCAACCATTTCTTGATATCGCCTAGACTGAATTGAACTGGCTGTAGACTGGTTTCTGAGCTGTTGAGGACCATTAGGGGAGGCTGAGATGGATCATCCATACGACACTTCTGGATGAAGATTGATGCGAATTCTTCAGCCTTATCTTTTGCACTGATGAGTTAGCCTTTTCCATCATTGAAGATGGGTATATTTGTGGAGCCTCCTCACCTGGTGAGTTGTTTAATTGTCTACCACCATTCATGACTGGATGTGGCAGGACTGCAGAACCCAAATCTGATCTATTGGTTATGGGATCACTTAGCTCTGTCTATCACTTGCTGCTTATGCTGTTTGGTATGCAAGTAGTCCTGTTTGGTAGCTTCACCAGGTTGACACATTATTTTTAGATATGCCTAGCACTCCTCTTGACATTCCCTCCTGCACTTTTCATTGAACCAGCGTTGGGGAGATGCCAGGCCATGAGCCTCAGGCCATTAGGCTTTGGACCACCAGAGCATCGAAGTCAAGGTAATTTCATGCAACGGGTATTGCTCTCAACCACTGCTTCCAGCTCAAATGTTGTGGGCACACCAAGGTGAAGCATTAGGTGATGAAAGATTAAAAAATTGCAATGGCATAGATCGGTGGTTGAGAACAATACCCATTGTGTGAGATTACCTTGACTGTCATGCTTTGATGGTCCAAGGTCTAAAGGCCTAAGTCTCCACAGCACATATTCAGGTATGCACTGTTCGGCCCCACCTCCTGGGTCTGAAACAATCACTGGCAGATCAGTGGAGTTACAGCAGGGCACATTGTAAGTATCCTATGATGAAGCTCTCGGAGCATCTTACTGGCACTGTTCCTCCCTGTTGGAGCATGAAAGCATTTCCCTGACTGCAGACAGAGACGGGCACCTGGTACAAATCTCTCCTTTAGTCACAGCTGGACAGAGCCAGAGTGATACAATGCTGGTCTGTCTTCTGCTGGACCTAGCTTCCAATAGTCGTTGCCAAACTTTCCATGGAGGGAGCCAAGTGCTTTCCTATCAAAGCCATGATAGTACTCAAAACCTGGGCCAACTCCTCCATCTTTGGCTCAAAGACAGCATGGCTTTGTGCATATCCGTGAAACATTCCCCTGTCTGTCTCTGCACTTCCAACAGATTTCTTTTGCCGGAATCGAGAGGGCACTTCATTAACATGGGGTCAGCAGAGGGTTTAGCGGTCTCCAGTGGTTCTCTGACTGTCAGGAACTACAGCTGTCACATCCTCCTTCAGCTACAGGGATGTGCTGACCATATTATGACCACAGGTCAATCAAAAACATATAACCACTGAGGTGAATGTCTTTTGCGTTGATCAGGGTGAATGGTGTGAAGTTGATTCATAACATGACCAGATAGGTTGAGTGTCAGTAAGTTCTTCTAACGTACACCAATGCCAGGTGGTAAGAGTGGGAGAGATTCCAGGCCAGCCATACTGAAAATTGGAGCCTCTGCTTTCACTATTCATTACTCCAGGACTAAAGCATCATGTAAAAGTGCACATTGCCATAGAACCATGGACTCTGGGAGATGGCTAGTGTGAATCAGATTGTTGCCAACAGCATGGCATTTAATCATTGTTCCGTCCAGGGTGGATACAGAATCTGCCTCCTTGCCCTACCCATGATGCTGTGAGTCAGACCTGCCTTCAGGTAGAGAACTGCAGAAGAAGAATAAACATACTTATCTATCTGTGCACTTCAGTGAAGAGATCCATCTAATATGGGACTGATAAGCAGAAATTCCACTTAACCCATGTGATTGTCTCCCTGCTCAAAGACAAAACTGCTTTCATTGCTTTGAATAACAATTAAATCAGTCAGAAATTTTGGGGCAGTTCGGCAACCCAGCGCAAGCACCTCAATTGTGTTATAAATGGAATTGCAGCCTTTAATTGACAAATTAATTAGTGGTAGCAGTCATGTTTCGAGAAGAATGTTTTGAAGAGATGATAATTTCATATACAGTAATCTTTTGATACTTTTCACCTGTATAAATAAGCTTATTTCAATTTAATTTGGTATTACTTTTACAGGTAGTTATGGTAATTTTAAAATAAGACATTCTAACAACTTGGGAGCACCATATGATTATGGATCAATTATGCATTATGGAAGGTAAGTACCAGCTCAACTGTAATTTTGTAATGATTAACAAACAAAATTAGTACAAGGCATAGGTCAGATATTTTTGCAAAACTTCTCCCCCCATGTCACAATGACTTTATTGAAAGTGTAGCCAGTGTGAGCAAGATTTTGTGGTTTGCAGAATTGGGTTCTCTAAAATTCCAGCAGCTGAGCAGACAAAGTTCTAACAAAATTCCCGGCTATATATTTATGATATTTCCCCCAAAAATGGGTCAGGCTATATTTGTGAATTGATGCTTTCAGGGTCTATTCAGGTAAGTATGAGTTGAAAAGGGAACCACAATAGAAGAAGGACCTACATAGCAATACTTTAGTCATTTGTTAGTACAGAACCTGAATTTGATTAATCAAAACAATTTGGAAGATTGTCAATATAAGGGAAAAAACAACATCTATACTTTTTGAGAGGAGAGCGCAGACTTGTTGGTAAATGGTCTCTGATTGGTGGAGCCATTACCATGGAGAATGTACCAGTTAATGACGACTGGCAGTGAATTGACAAGTTTTGTTTGAATTTTAAACCAGGTAGGTTGACACTGTTTGATGGAGGCATTGTCTATGAAATGAGCCAGTGAATGGTAGTCATCAACTTTGTTGAGTTGAGAAAGGTACATGTTCTTTTTGTTTACAAATAACAGGGCCCTGTGTATTAATATGTGTAGCTTCCAATATACCCGAGCATGCCACACTGCCAGACCAAGTGACAATCTAAATTGATTGGCAGCATAATCCATCACATGCACAGGATTATGCAACAAATGCTGTCCAATTGTGCAGTCACACCTCGTGTTAGACACTGTGTCACAAGTTTGCAACCGCCCTCTGATTGGATATGGCTTGTTGCAAACAGCGAAAGGAATATGGTAGTTGATACATTCCATCAGTCTTTACAACTTACGATCCATATACCTGGCATGACACCAGCACTGAAATTCATAGACCACATTATACATTTATGTGTTGGAGAGAATTCTTTTGGCTTGGCTGCAGCTTCATCTTAGTAGTGGACACCACTTGTGTTGTTGCTGCACAGTAACAGTGTGAAACAGAGATAGTAGGAACTACAGATGCTGGAGAATCTGAGATAACAGGGTGTAGAGCTGGATGAACACAGCAGGCCAAGCAGCATCAGAGAATTTCTGAAGAACGGTCCAGGCCCGAAACGTCAGCTTTCCTGCTCCTTTGATGCTGCTTGGCCTGCTGTGTTCATCCAGCTCTACATCTTGTTATAACAGCGTGAAACAGCTGGCTTCACATGTTGCTAAAATTTTTGAGATGTCTTACCCTTCCAGGGTAATCTGAGGTAGACTTAGAGCTTCTCAGGACCAAAAGGAACGGTCCTAGAGCCATTCATGAATTTGCGCGATACACGGTGAGAAATGAGCAGGGTAGCCACTATCCCATGGGATGGCTTTGATGTGCCCTATTTCAGCATTAAGCTTGCATGGTGAACAAGTGGTTCAGACCCTATTTAAAAGGTTGATGATAGGGCAGTTGTGGAGTGCATGCAACTATAGAAATCCCAACATGAATATTGACCAGCAGAGATATGTCTACGGAAGACAGTAGCAGAGAAACTCCTAGCCGATTTCTCAACCAGGATATTGAGTATTCAGTTTCAATGGTGGATTTGAACACAGATGGACCCCGTAAGATATGCAAGGAAATTCTTACATGCAGCTGGGGTGCAATATAGGAAAGCATTATCTACATATCAGAAATATACAAGGGATAGGAAATTAAGTGTCACCCCATCAAAGTCATATTTCTTAGGGAATCCAACAAAGGTTTTTGTGAGAGCTGAGTGAAGGGGATGTCCCATGGGATGTTATGGCAAATTGTGATGACTGTCTGAGCTTCTTCGCAAGACCATGTTCCATAAAATAATATGAGTCAAAATATCAGCTGTTAATACTTCTTTAGCAAACCCAAATTCTAACAGACTTTTCAAGATGCTTAATTTTTCAACACAATTTGTTCTGCTTTAAGTAAACTTGAGTATTGTATCTTCTTTCACAGAAATTACTTACATGAACAACTTTAAACTCCTTCCAATTTAACAGGACGTTTTAACGGTCTCATAACCAAATAGCTTGTTTTTCACCTCTTTCATATCATTTTTTCCATATCTTTAAAACAGCTAGCACACACTTCGGTGTATTCATCTCCTATTATTTTATGATTCTATGGTATCTATTTCATCAGAGGCATCTATCATGATCCTAGAAGTGTAAGTTTAAAGTTTTACTGTGGTGCAGGATTACGAAAAAGAAAAGTCCTGGAGAAATGAATGGGGCTAAAGCTGATTCATGGACCTGATGGGTTGCATGTGCTTGCTTTAATGGCAATAGCAGAGATAGCGGATGCATTGGTAATGATGTTTCAAGAATCCTTTGATTCTGGTAAAGTCCAAAGGGATTGGAGAATTGCAAATGTAACAAAATTATTCAAAAAAGGATGGAGATATTTTAGGAGACCATAAGACCACAGATATAGGAGCAGAATTAGGCAATTCAACCCATCAAGTCTGCTTCTCCATTCGATTGTTGCTGATATATGTTTCTCAAGTCCAATTGCCTGTCTTCTCCCCATAACCTATGTTCCCCTTGCTAATCAAGAATTGATCTACCTCCATCTTAAATACACTCAATAACTTGACCTCCACAGCCTTTTGTGGCAATGAGTTCAATGGCTGAAGAAATTCCTCCTCATCCCAGTTCTAAAGGGCCATGCTTTCACTCTCAGGCTGTGTACTCAGGTCTTAATCTGTCCTACTAGTGGAAACATCTTCACCATATCCATTCTATCCAGGCCTCTCAGTATTAGGTAAATTTCAGTGAGATTCCCCTCATCCTTATAAACTGAATTAAGTACAGACCCAGAGTTCTCAACCATTCCTCATTTGATAAGCCCTTCATTCCCAGGATTACTCTTATAAATCTCCTCTGGACTCCCTCCAATGCTAGCACATCCTTCCTTAGATACAGGGCTCAAGACTTCTGACAATATTCCGAATGCAGTCTGACAGAGCCTTATGCAGCCTCAGTAGCACATCTCTGCTCTGGTATTCTAGTCCTCCTGAAATGAATGATAACATTGCATTTGCCATCCAAACTGCCAACTGAACCTGCATGTTAACCTTAAAATAATCCTGAACTAGGACTTCAAAGTTCTTTTGTGCTTCAGATTACTGAGCCTTTCCCCATTTATAAAATAGTCTATGCCTCTATTCTTCCTGCCAAAGTGCATAACCTGACACATTGTATTCCATCTGCCACTCCTTTGTCCAATCTCTTAGTCTATCCAACTCCTTCTGCAGCCTCCCTGCTTCCTTGAATCTACCTGTCCCCCCACCTATCTTTGTGTCATCTGCAAATTTAGCAACACTGCCCTCAGTTCCTTCCAGGATGTTGATGGTGGGGGATTCAGTGATGGTAACACCATTGAATGTCAAGGGGCAGTGGTTAAATTGTCTCTTTTTGGAGATGGTCATTACCTTGCATTTGTGGGGTGGACAGGCTTTGGGGAGTCAGGAGGTGAGTTACTCACCCCAGAATTCCTAGCCTCTGAATTGGTCTTGTAGCAACAGTATTTATATAACTAGTCCAGTTCTGTTTGTTGGCAATGGCAATCTCCTGGATTTTGATAGCGGTATATTCAGTGACACTATTATTGTTAAATATTAAGGGGAAATTATTAGATTTTCTCTTTTTGGCGATGGTCGTTACCTGGCACTTGTGTGGCATGAATGTTATTTGTCATTTATCAGCTAAGTCTGAACTGTTACATTTGGAAATGGACAGTTTCATTATCTGAGGAGTTGCAAATGGTCCTGAACATTTTTCAATCATCAGAGAACATCCACTCTTCTGATCTCATGATAGAGGAAGGGTCATTGATGAAGCATCCATCATTTATACTAGGGAAGAAGGTTGAATTGTCCCAATCTTTCTTGCTTAAAGCATTATGGGATTGTTTGACTATTATAATGAATTTCAGTGAATGCAATACAATGAATACAATGATGTGCAGTGAATTGGCAGCTGATCTTTCACAGAGCCAGTTTTTAAACTTTTCTTTTGTCTTAGTAAATATTGTCAAGTTAGTTAATTTCAAACCAAATGGGAAACTAGAAAATGAGTCCCCACAAAGAGTTTGAACTATTGTTCTGTGAACTTCAGTCGAAAGTAGATCATGAATGGGGAAATATGGGCTGTTAATTCAATACAAACCTGCTTTTCTCTGTCTGCAAAGATTATATCAGTCATACCTCTTCCTTTTCTGTCTGACATAAACTAGCAGGACCCATGTAGCAATGTTTTAATGAAAGTGATTGAATATCCATTTCAAGAATCATTCCAGCAATGATAAATAAATCCATTCTTAAGTGATTATCGAAGGTAAAACAACTTGCTGTGTCCTCGCAGCATGAACAATTGAAGCATCTTTGTACTTCTGGAGGACTTTCCTGGACTGTGTAAATAGAAATAGTTTATTGAGGCATTTGATTATTTAGTCACCATTGGCATTGTGTATCTCAGCATACAATGTCAAGAACAGGTTCTTAACCATTTAAGTGCAGTCATATTATTGTTGCATTTGAGATGTGTTTGTCTCTTTTACAAGGTTTTTACTGGTGACACACTGAGTTAACTGATCAATGACTTTCATATTCAAAGTTTTGGAAATGATCAGCCCATCTTCTTTCAACCTTTCTTTTGTTTATGAAAAGCGCAGTTTAATATTAGTGTTGTAAGAGAGGTAGAGCTACTAATTTTGGAGCCATATTATCTTCAGCACGTTATAAACAATAAGCATAACAGTTGCCTACCTGCTCACCAAATTAATGCTGTGATTGCAGCTTTCAGGTTTCTTTATCACTCACTCCCGTAGGCACTCCTTGCTGTTAAAAGATCAGAAAAGTGTCTGTTCCTTCATTGTCCTCACTCACCAAATTGCTGAGTCAAGTCCTGTGTAGAAGTAGTGTTTTGTTGATCCAGACTCCATTTGTTATCAAACATTTTCTGAATTTATACCAGCAAAAATGCTAAAAGCTTGAGGGAGCCCCTGCAGGTTAGTACAAACTCACTGAATTAATTATGCAGATAACAAGGTGCAGTGCTGGATGAACACAAC